CTTGCTTTAATTTTAATTTTATTTCAATTTTTAATTTTTTTGTCGCGCTGTGATGACGTCACATGCGCGCTTTCGTCGATCACAATTTTGTCCTCCGCGGTTTTGACGGGTCACGGAAATATTATGATATAAATCTTGAGTCTTGGGGGTTCGTGGCTATGGTCCATGGCCACAAAAGGTATTTAAAGGTATGTGGGGAAGAAAAGATTGAGAATCGCTGCCTTAGAGCAATTCGTCTTTTTTTAAATTATCTAAATTATGCTATTGCACTTTACTGTAATAGATATTGTACTGTAATATTAGCTACAGGCATGTCTTACACACAAGTCCCATTGATTTCAGGAAAGTATGTTTAGAACTGCATTCTTGTTATATTTAGATTTCAGGTCAATGTCAAATTTAGATATTCATTTTAGATCAAAACAACTTTCCCAGAATGACCTGTCATGTTAACCATTACTTTGTATCAAAAGCCGTAATTAGAAGAAGAATGCTGCGGCTTGACATTAGTTTTTCCTTTTTCCTATTTCAGGAGGTTTTTGGCGTCTGCTTTGGGGTTCTTCCCACTGTAAACTATGATTAATTATCCTGTTGTACCAATGAGGCTTCAGAGTAGCCACCACCTTCATTTTGGTGGTATGTTCAGGTCGATGAATAATCTAAATATTTAACTGCCTTTCAGTGGTTATCTCCAACCATTAATGGAAATCATTCCTTTTTGTTTAGTCAAAATTCTTAGGCTTGAGGCAGACAGCCAGATTCATCTTTCTAAATGTTCTCTTCGCCCTTTAGAACCCTTGTTTGTTCTAGAAACCACCCCAGGCATACTTAAGACGTTCTCCTGATGTTGCCTTGCCCAATGGAATCATCTGCCAACAAAACTCTCACACAGTGGGATACATTTGCCTCTCTTGCTCACAGTGGGCAGCCTTATTTGCTTATGTGGGTGAGTGGGAGAATAATTTGTTCCATTGATTGAAATACTTAGGTCTGCATTGATGCCAGTCAGTATTCTGGACTAATATAAGTGACCTACTTTTTGTTTTCTTCAGTAATAGTCTCACTATTTCCTTAGGGGAATTATTTAATTTTGTTTCATCCACTGTCTCTTTCATGCTTGTCATTTGCAAACATTTCCTCTTTCTTTTGCTTCTCAATAAAAAGAGAGCATAAATAAATACTACTGTAAGTGTTATGGCCTGCCAGCTGCCAGAAGAGCTGGCAGCAGATTCAGGCAATGAGGAGGAGGTTGGGGAGGAACATGGGCCCATCCTGGAGTCTGGGGATGACTCTGATGGATGCCCTGCATCAGCAGCAGAGATGGAGCCAGCGTCAGGGTTCCAAGTAACACCCCCAATGAATGAAGGCTCCAAGGCTTGAAGTTTCCTCAAAGTTCCATTTTATTAGAGATGTCATGTTGGCACATCTGGGAAAACCCAAATCTGAGAGTTCCGGGTCTTCCCCATGCAAAAGAAAGTCAAAGATCCATACCCTGCACCCACAAGTCCATCACATGGTCCAATCAATTCACCATCCCAACCGGAGACAACCTCCTGCACTCCAGATGCAGGCCAAATGCCGCTAACTTTGGGTATATACTATAATTTGGTTGTTTACAACTTGACACTTTTATTGCTTGGCTGTATTGGTCTAAGATCTGATAAGATTGCACAGCTCCGAGCCTGCAAATACCTCAGAGCTCTCAAGAAAAAATACTAACTGCATATAAATATGGCGTCTATTCAAGTGTCTATTCAAATTATAGTTTCAGTGCTACAGAAATTATCTGCCACACAGGCTAGAATTGAGAGAAAATTGGATTATTTGGTGTTTTTAGCAACAAAATACGAGGGAAAAATCGAGAATGATCTTCAAATATAAACTAAGGATGTCAGAGATAAAAATTCTCAATTTGCTGATATTCGGGGCAACTGGTTTACCTCTGAGGGAGAAAAAGATGGAATGTCAGAAGGGGGAGCAGCCACACAGAAGATTTACTTCAAAAGACAGGGTGCAGGAGGAGTGAGAAGCATTAAACAATTTATA